GTTTATTATACTTTTCATACGAAACCACAACTAATGTCATATATGGACAGCAAATGCAATTACCAATGCCTGGCATTACATTATGTTTCAATAAAACCTATTTATTAATGACCGATATCATAGAAAATTATACCTTAAAAAATTACACAGCGTTTGAGCAATTACCACTCGACAGACAAATTAATATTATGAAATACAAAGAGAATGACATTAAATGTCGACTAAGCATGTATAGAAATTCTAACACACCATGGCCAAATTGCAGCGATTTAGCCCTTTATCGCTATTCTATTAATGAGTGGTTTTATTGCATATCGTTATTCACTCAATGGTCGCACGACTCGGACACCCGGTATATGACAAATAGGAATCTAACGAGAGTGGAGTCACCAAAGTTTGCATTTATGTTGAATATTTCTAGTAAGCTGGTGACTAACAATACCCTTGTATTGTTGAATGTTCATTCCGCCCGCGAACATCTCTACAAGGCGAATGAAATGGGTTCAATATATCTAGGCATACAAAAGTTCAATATTTTTTATATCAGATATAACGAGGTAATTGTTAACCGCCAACACCTCACACATATGCCATGCTCTGTAAACATTACACACAGGGAATGCATTAACGCCTGCAATATAAGGGAATTTCAGTTGAAACATAATAACGAACTTAATGGAAATTATTTGACTTATTTTACTAGTAACGTTAGTTATAAATTTGCCACAAATACTGGTTATAAAAACTATTTAGATAAATATGGTAAAAAATGTCAAATTAAATGTAATCGTACCGTTGAATGCATGCGACACTATTATCACGTGACCATAAGCTCTCAATTTGCACGTAAGAAGCATGATGATAATTCAACTTATTTATATTTGGAATACCCTGTACAACTTCCTATTGTATACGATATGTATCTGAAAATGCCCATGGAAGAATATTTAGCTATGGTGGCCAGTATATTTGGTTTATGGTTTGGGTTTAATGTGTTAGCGTTTCCCGATTTTTGCGCCCAAATGTTTCATCGCTTACAACGCTATTATTTTACATATTATATAAATAGCAATATTAAACAATCAAACAATTTAACAATCAATGTTATTCGCTCTAATAAAATTAAAAGTTTACGTATGCTGCACACATCATGATACGTATAAAAAATTACCAACTATTTATAATGTAACTATTATTAAATAAAAATTATATTATATAATTTGGCATCATTAAATGTCAAATAATTAAGCAAAAATTATATTGTAATAGACAGAAGACAATCAATACAACGTGGGTACATTACAACTATTAAAGGTTTTGAAAAAATACTTGGAAATCAAATATTTAGTATTTTAAATTATTAATGTTACATTTAACTTATTTAGGGCGTAAAAATTTTATTAATATTTTAACGTTTTACGGTTTGACCAGAATTGTATGACATGCTTCGAATTATAGTATAACAGGTTGGTCGATTGGAGTATCCAATTTTACTAATTATCATATCAAATTATGATGATAAAAATAAATAAATAATTCTGCTTTTGTTTAAATTAAGTTAGAATTTATATGTATAGTGTTCCCCCATACTACATTATGCCACATAATTTATGGCATAATAACATACTAATAGTTAATAATGCCTTGGGCAATTATTTATTATTTAAATAAATTTGTTTATAATAAAATAAAATTTATTTAGATAATTATGTAAGCACTTTTAATAACCTAAAATATAGGAACACTTATATTTAAAATAAAATAATAGATAGCACAATTATAATAAATCACTTTATTTAGTACAATAAATTATTTATTCTTCATGTTTTCGTTTGAAGTCTAGCGCAATAAAATAATAAAATATATTTCTAGTAAAATAAATTATCAACTCAAATAAATTATCATCTTATAATATGAGAATTGGTTATTAGAAATAGTATATAATTTATTAAATATACCATAGTTATTATAAAGTCTTTAGTTAGTGAATATGTCAATTGATTGATATAATTTTATACACAATATACTTTCATAATACCATTTCTTAGAAAGACGTAAAAATGTACAACATGTAATATTATACAGGAAAATATGAGCGTGTTAATATATTAATAAAATAGATAATTTTTAATCTATTACATAAAACGCTAAAAATATTCATTTTCATTTAAAGAGCATTTTATTAATTGATTGTAGGTTTATAATTCACGGTAATGTACTAAAATTAATTAGAAACATATTTCCAGGACAAATTAATCCTGTTAAGAACTAAATTGTTATCTTATTTATCAGTGTTTACTCTGGCAAAATTTAATTAACTAATATAAAATTAGTTATATTGTATTCAGATAATAACTTGTGATTTATCTATCTAATATACTAAACTAATATATAGTTAATAAAATTAAGTACCGGGTACTTTCGGGTTGACAAGATGATGCTCAATTACCGGGGTTTTTCTAAGAAAATCAAACTATTATACAAACAACACAATTTCATCAGTATTTAGCTTTGGTTATCCATTTTTACCAAGAGTATATAAGCTCAAATTCAATTATTATAAATTATTACTATACTCTATTTTAATTAATTGTATATAATTAATTGAAAATGATGAAAATTAGTTTGCTAGTGTGTTTGATGTTAGTATGTTTGGGCCAATCGTCGCCAAACCTAATATGTTATTATGAGGGCTGGTGTAAGTTATATTATAGTATTATATTATATTAAGTATTGCGAGTAAATAATTAAAAATACAAGTTATTAAACTAAAAGCTTTAATACACGTTTAATTACATGATACATTCATTATTTATATTTAAATACGAATTATTCAGCCGGGTACGCACCAGCGCCAGGATCAATGGACATCAAAGATATTGGTAAATTATATAATTACAAATTATAGTAAACTAACCATGTCCATTTAATATGCTTAGACAACACCCTATGCACACACCGTATCTACGCCTATAACGGTGTGACCAAAGAGGCCGATGTGCTAATCACTGACACGTGGCGTGAGATTGACAAACGTAACTAACCATAATTAAATAAAGCAATATGATAACTTAAAACTTATACATAAAATGACCTAGATCAATTGTACGATTGGGGCCATAACAAGGGCTCGGACCTGTCGCTGATGGGTATTGGTGGCTATAATTTTGCCAAGGACTTGCACTACGCCACTGAGAAACCGGTCGATTTTGCCATTAACCTGGTCAAACATCTCAAGAAATATAACCTTGATGGCGCGGTGATCGAGTGGTCGCCCAACCATTGGAAAGTCGAGTACATGGAATCGTATGTAAACTTATTACAGGTACTGAGGGTTGCATTTTCGCTCAACAACTATGTGTTGGCCACTACTGTGTCCGCCAATCAGTTCTACTATGATGTCAAGTCTGTGGCAAGGTGAGTTTTGTTTATATTAACTACCTAATATAATTTAAGTCTATTAGTATTTCATATAAAATAACTATAAATATATTTGAGAATTTTATTTTTAAAATATAAGGTAACAGTTATTATATTTTGTAGATACGCTGATTTGATCATTGTCCAATCGTATGATTATCGCGGTTCGTGGAATCGTGAAGTGGGTCACTCATCAGCCCTAGCTGATCAGGTATTAATTAATTTGTACTGCGACAAATGTGATTTTACCCTAACTACATATAATTTTTGTATTTATAAATTTGTTGCATAGAAAAACACCATTGAACAATGGATTTTGAAAGGCGCACCAGCTAAGAAATTAGTGGTAAGTGATCATAATAAATTAAGATTCATATACTGAATAGTTATCATGCAAAAATTATTGTTACCAAGGTTACTGTGCCCGCCTACGGCCACACCTGGACACTCACTGATCCCACCAAAACTGATGTCAACTCACCGGCTAAAGGGTCCGGACATATGGGACCGTTTACACGTCAAGCTGGTAAATTAGGTGTCAACGAGGTCAGTACTTAATATTAATTGTATTACCCGGATCAATCATCAACATAAATGATAAATAATTTAGCTAGTTAAACAATTATTAATTACAATAAATCACAAATATATCAATTATAATAATTAACCAATGATTAATCATAACTATAGTATTGGTATTTAAATATTTACAATAGCTATTATTCAATATAAATTTAACAATTATAATTTTACCATATTTAATTAATAACCATAGTTTATGATGCGAATGAAATACGATCCGAGCGGTTGGAGCCGACACGAGGACTCAACTGCCGGTGCCGTATACTATGTGAACGCTGACCAATGGGTGTCCATTGAAGACACAAAGACCGCTGAGGCTAAGGGACAATGGGTTAAAAGTACCGGTTTGGCCGGTATTGCCGTTCAGGCCATCAATAACGACGACTTTAATGGCTTGGCCTCAGCCAACAAAAGTCCACTTCTAAAAGCGATTAAAAAAGGCTTAAATTAACGAGTTTAATTTAAAATTCATTAATTTCTAAATTGCCCGGCTATTGTTGTTCTATAAAATTATTATATTTTACTATTTCGATAAATAAAACTTTCTTTTCTTAGCAATAATGTTTGTTTTTTTAATTTTATTTTTAATCGAAGTAATTATACAGTAGTAGACAGTAAAATAAATAGTAAGTAAAAAATAATTAATGACTAAGACAGTAAATCGCTTAATTTTATGCAAATAAAAGTTACATAGTTTAACCATGCTATTTTTAAACCTCATTGAATAATAGTTGATTTTACGGACAAAGTTATCAAGTTGCCGTTTTGTATCTGGCCATTTCCCGGTCCCACTCGGCCTGCGATATATCATTCACCTCATTGAAATAGGGCAGCTCTGCCTGTAAGCCGGCCACCCATCGCTTGTAGTTGGGGTACGCACTGAGATCTATGTGAAATCTTTCCAGATATACCCAATATCCCAGTAGCGACAAATCTGCCAGGGTCAACTGGTCGCCAACGAGATACTTATTTTGTTTTATTAGCACCTGGTCCAAATTTTTGAGACTATTATTCAGCGCGGTTACTTTGTCGGGAGAGGGTTGAGTTCCAGTAAATAGTGGTGGTGACTATATTGTATTTGTGGGTAGAAAACATAATGATCAATCAATGTTTGTAGCATGTTAATTCTGATTATTAAGGCTCTCTCGTACCACAACGTCTTCGATTTGATTCAAGAATGTTAAGTCAAAGTTGAGAGACCGGTCGACTAGAGCGCGCTGTTTCGGGTCCGTCGGGTAAAGAGTGCTGTCCGGCGCGTATCGGTTGCACAGGTATTGCATTATTGCCCGACTCTCCCATAGAGCGAACCCGTGGTCATTAATGGTGGGCACAATATGTAAGGGATTTATCTGTATATAATGTAAATAAGCAAGGTAAATATCATTTATTTATAAATAACACTACTAAAAGTGTTTGTTAAAAATAATTAAAAATCATTTTAATAATAATGCAATTATGCTATTAAATAACAAACTAATATTAGAAATTATTGTTTTATTAAAAATGTACTAATAATTTAGAATTATGGCAAATAAATATTAAAATATTTTTTAAAATAAATGAGTAATATATGGTAGTTTAATTTACAAAGTCTAGATTAATTTACTTACAGCTAGAAACTCTGGTTTCAATTGTTCGCCAGCAGCTAGGTCAATTGGTTTGAAGTTAACGTCAAGTGTTAATTGCCTGATTGTCATATACACGGCTCTCGACGCACCACTGAATCGGTTATAATAGAAATCAATTGTCATTATTAATAGTTAGCGTAATTAAAATCAAAACTAATAGTTATATTTAAAATAAAATCAGGTTTGAAAGCGCAATTTAATTCACACAAAATTCACAGTTTTTTATATTATTTGTTTTCATTCTACCATAATGGCACTAAAAATGCACTTGTATTTAACATGCGCAAAATAGTAATAAATGTACGAAGCACACAGGGTGCATATAAACCGCATAAGACATATTGTACTTTATGCAACAAATAGTACTGTAAAACAGGATATTATCATATTTTTATTAACGCTTATCATGTATTTCGAAAATTTATACAGTATAAATGCTTAAAATTCTAAATTTTAAATTTTTAAAATATAATTATAGTTTTTAATATAAAGTTTACATTAGTTTTCAATATTTTTTGAAATCAAAATTTTAAATAAAATAATTTTATAATTTTTATAAAAGAAATTTTATAAAATATCAAAAAAACAATATAACAATTTAGAATAAGATTAAATAATTTTATTGATTTTATTATTATCAATATCTATTATTAATGGATTAAAACTAATTCACCTATAAAATAATATAAAAGCATTGAATATTATTGTAAATCATTCACAACGCATTTTATATTAAATGTTTTAACATAATAGATTTTAGCAATAATTAGTTACTAATGCATTTTAGTAGTATAAGTAAGAAGTTCATATTTATTATATTATATTTACGTTTATTCATTATTATTCTAATATTATAGCATTTCTATCAACGTTAATTGTTTTGATTAATTACGTTGATGGTAATTACGTCACGTGCCCAGATGATTATCCTATTAGATCACTATGCGCATACATGGATGAACCTACAGATTGTTACATTGTTTGTTCGGGTGGTGAGAAGTTTGACATCAAAGCCACACTCAGCGACTTAAAGCATAGATTGCCGGTCGATGTCAAACCATTTCGGGGACTTGTATTGAACAACACAGCTATCGAAGAATTACCGGCCAATGCTTTTGGTGGCGTGCAGTTTAATGAAATTTACATTGATGGTGCGAGAAAATTACAACGTATACATCTGTGGGCGTTCGATGGCACGGAATCGACCATAACCATTTTGTATATTAAAAATTCACTTGTCACACAATTGGTCACTAATAGTTCGGACTTGTTTGGCGCGATCGACACGTTGAAAAGCTTGGATTGCCTGCTACTGTATTCGACGGATGTGACTGAATTGCCACCCAATACGATATCGGGCCTAAAACATTTGCGCCAAATATTTGTTTATTTTAATAAATTGACATCGATATCTGCGCATGCGTTTAACGATTTGCCAGCTCTGATACAATTGACTTTTGAATTCAGTCGAATAGAACGCGTGGCCGAACTCGCCTTCACTATCAGTCGCAATACTACTACTCGACAGCATTTAGAGCTGTATTTCGGCGATCAGGAAATGGATCCGTTCACTGACCGGTCGTTACAGTCGATTGGTTGCCCAACGACTATAGGATTTGGCAAATATTGTATTAAATATTTGGCTCAAAATGTATTCGAAGTGTTTTTGTCCGATAATTCATTGAATCGTGTTTTGGACGATAGTATCGATTGCACCGATAGTCGCAACCAATGGATTAAAGAGAAATACCCTCACGTTTGGCAGGATTTGAAATGCAAATGACATGCCTGTTTCATATAAATTACTTTTATAAAATGTTTGATAATTGTATTAATTTTGAAATTCTGTTTAACTAAGTTAAGTTTATCTTTTTAATTTTATTTTTAAATTAACTTATTATATTTTAATAACTTTTCAGTAATTTTAAATTCTATTTTATAAATGTTTGGAAATATATTTCCAAATTATTATTAAAATATATTACGACCAAAACATATGACAAAACATCCTAACATTATTATGACCTTCATGAACAATACAAACTAGTGTAGTTAATAAAATTATATACACGCATTTTAAAATTTTTTTATGTATCATTAATTAAATTTGACAATCATGTTTATAATTATATTATCACTTATCAATAATAATAGTTATCAGTTTGAGCAAGTATCATCAAACCACTGTTTGGCATATTTCAGTCTCAGCCAATCATTGCCCTTATTCAAACACTCGGTCTTTGACAAAATCAAATTACTCGGGTTGGTTTGCAAAAACGCTTCAAACTCAGCTTGATCCAAAAATTTCAGACCATTATTGTTTAAATCCAAATGCACAATACGTTTAATGCCGGCCAACGCCTGGCCCTTAATCTGCCCCCCTTTAACCAATCGCCCCATAGGTTCAGATTCATTGGTAGCGAACTATACTCTGTATTAATACTGTTGAACGCAGTGTCCGACACCTGTACTATGGGATTACCCTCGAGGGTAAGCTCCGTAAAGGCCGGCAAATTACTGAACGCCTTATCGCCAACACTAGTAAGGCGTGGATTATCAACAAAAAATAGGTGAAACAAATGCGGGAATGACTGAACAGCACCCGCCGGTATTGCCGTCAGTTCAGTGCCCTTAAGCCACAGGACCTCAAACAGGGCTAGAGTACGTACGGCGCCGAACACATCGTACAACCCGTCACGCGTTGCGTCGCCTACCGGTGCGTCCGTAATGTACAGGCGTTTCATTGTGGCCGCTATGGGACCGGCAAACGCGTCCCGATGTATACGCTTTAGACTACTGGCGCCCTCTATGAGCACCCATTCAAACAGTATGTCTGAGAATACACGGGCGGGCAGTTCAGTCACCGCCGTGTTGTTGTTGAGCCTGAATTGAGCAAAATGTTTGCTGGGCTGGTCTTTTAATTGGTGACTGAGCTTGGTGAAAATGTCGGTTAAATTAAAAGTGCTGGTATCACCCTCGCATATAATTATGCATCCGTGGTCGCTCGTGTAGCATGGTGGTTCTAGAGTGACGATTTGTGGGCATTGTTGAGAATGTACGGTGGTCACTCCCAGAATGATTAGGGTAAATAATGTTGTCACTATAGGGTAGTTTTAATGAAACTAAATTATCATTTAATAATTGTTTAGTAATTATTGTATTATATTTATGACAAGTTAATATAAAGACTTTATATAATTTATAAACAGTTAATTGAGGTTGTTATTGTTAATGTTTACATTTTCAATCATTAAATTAATAAAAACATACAAATTATATTTAAAGTTAATATATAATTAAATATATTGATACTTACGGAATTTCATTGTGATAATTTTTAGAACTTATAATTTAATATATATAAACTAAATTATATTGTTATAACTGTACCATTGTAAAATATTAATTAATTAAGCTTGCGAGTGTGTTTTTATAAAACAAATATTATCAAGGGCATTTGATATTGATATTTTTATGACATTGAATCTATGAGATATAAAATAACAATAAAGTACTATAATAAATATACATGTATATTTATAATGTCAACTCGTAAACTTGTAATGAGAATAACACTTGATAAAAACAATTTAAGCCATGTGTATTAATGCAATATACCTGTATAATCTTTTATAATTTCAATAGTTTTTATTTATAAAAGATTACGCTTTCAACGTAGTTGTTTATATTAATGAGCAATTTTTACATTTGCACAAGGATATGTGTTTTGCTGGATACATTTTATAAAGTTTATTTTTGTAAAACATATTGTAATTTAAATAAATACCCATTAATTAAATAAAAACTTGAAAATAACTTTTTTGATCTAAATAAATAAATAATAAAATTTTTATTCATAATTATTTGTATTATAAAGTTAATTACATATTAAATAAAATATCATAATAATTAAGCATATGTTCAGCACTAGCCCATAGACTTAACATTAAAAATTATTTAATATAAATGAATGACATTAAATATAATTTAGTTAATATCATTGAAGGAATTATAAAATTCATTATTATATTCTATAATTATTGAATATAATAATGTATTCTACAATTGAGTCAATGATATTAACTAAATTTAATTTAATGAACACAACTATATTTATATAAATATGATAACATGTTTTTTGTATAATAATTATTCATTTAATTCATATGTTTTTAAGTATTCTGTAATAATATTTTCATGTATCAATCACCAAATAATGTATTTATGTTTACAACTAATCTTAATACAATTACGTAATTTTAAAGTTATTATTAGTACTTACATTTTATTTAAGTTTAGCAAAACAGTAATAATGACGTTAAAATTTTAATTACAAATTAATGTCTTATAATTTATAGTTAAAATTTTAACTTATTCTACATTGTTTTTTTTATATACAAATAGTCATTAGTAGCAGTTTTATTAAATAACAGTAAAATTACTAATAAATTGTCATTTTAATATAATAATGTTATATAATAATAATTTTTTAATTAAACTAATCGGGGACATGATTTGACCTTGATAATTATTTACATTTTTGCTGATTTAGGAAAACACTTAATATCTACGATAATACAGTATAAATTACAAAAACTTTGTATTTTGCGCAAGAAACAATAAAAAATAAAACTTACTACATTTGATGTCCAGAACAATTACATTAATATTTCATTGAAATACTTTATAAATAAATTATTTTATTTAAGTAAACATTGTATAATACAATTTTTTTTGTGCTTAGACAGACAGACAAATTATTACGTGATAAGTTTATATAAATATCTAAAACTCTGTCTTCAGTATATCAAATATGGTGTTATGGGTTGACACTCGAACTATTTCACCAAGATTGCTAGACTATCAGATGTTTATGTGTGGTAAATATTATTTTTAATTTATTTTAATTATTATAATTTAATGCACAAATAAGTCTGCCTGAACAATCGTTTATAGTTAATCTGTTACCAATTATCTAAATTAAAATTTGATATGAACTATTTCGATACAATTAGTAAATGAATGCTGTTATTTAATAACACAATAATTTATTATATCACCTTATCACAATCATTTAGATCACCAAGAGCAATCGGCTGCAGCATGGTTAGCCGCCGCTATGAACGAGGTCACTATCACCGATGACAATCATAAACAAGCCTGTCGTCAGTCGCAGACCGTACAGCCACTTAGTCGGCCCAACTCGCGGGGCTTACGTATACCCGCATCGATACTTAGACCGGGTTCGGCACCGGTATCCCCGACCGGTCACATCCCATCCCCGCCCGTCTCACCCAACGGGGACAGCAAAAAGATTGTCCGCTTCGCCGACTCAGCACCGGGTGGTCAGCTCGAGTGCGTCAAGTACTACGCCCTATCATCGGTGCCTATCCGGCGACGATCTCTACCACGTGCCAAAAGTTTGCCTACAGGTGTTACCGGTCAACAAAAACATACTTATTTCATCAAACCTACATTCGCCAACCCATCGCTCCAAACGGATCAGTTCGCCGATCGACTCCACCGGCAGTCCGTATGCTTGCACTCGGTGTCCACCACCGGCGCCGACAATACCGTCTACGGCCTGATAGCCGTACGCAACCATACGTACGCCAAACGTGTGTCCGTCCGTTACAGTCGCGACGATTGGTGCTCAGCGGCCGATACGGTGGCCGACTATAGCCACACCAGTTGTGGCGCCGATATGTTTACGTTTGCCATCGACTGTAAGCCTCAAGAGTTCACGCATGAGATGACTACCGGTGCCCAACCTGTCGGGCCGTTTAATCAACGCTTGCACTTTGTGTGCCGCTACGAAACGGGCACCGGTGACCAGTATTGGGACAATAATGATGGTCACGATTATTGCGTTAATTTGTTGGTTAATGATTACGCGGTTAATACTGATGTAAGACATGTGGCTTAATTAGATTGCTGTAATTATTACATTAAATAAAAGTAACTTAAAAATAATACTATGACAAAACTAAACACTTATGATTAGCTCAAGTTCACATAGTAAACAATAACCCAAATAACAATCAGCCTATTATTGAAATATATTGTACCAAGCTCAATAGCCGAATTATATATCTATCTGAATTATTTGTCTTAATTAATTGATAAAATTAACACAATAATAATCAATGTTAGATTTAAGACCTTATTGTTAATTATATATATTAAATTATTATAAGTTATGACTGATAATGTATTATTGTAAACTTACATAATACAAAGTATATTCATTAATTAGTAAATTATATCAAACTTGATGCTTATTACATTAATATATATAAATAGTTATGATTTAAGCACATTAAATATAATTATAAAATTATTACTGTATTTGTTATATTAATTAAAATTACAAATTGTAAATATTATTTAAAATAAACTAAATTTTAACGAATATAATATAACAATGCATACAGAATAATAATATTAGTATGTTTTCTATTTATGCAATTAAAATATTTTTGGATAATTATTACGTAAAGTGATATTATGTTAGAAACTTATTTTACATTTAATGATAAAATTATGTGCTGTATATAGAGTGACCAACCGTCCCGATTTCATCGGGACAATCCCGATTTTGCACATTTTGTCCAGCGTCCCGATTAAATTTTACAATTATTTGATTAATAATATACATAAAATTCTATGCCATTCTAAAGTTTAATCTAAAAATAATCTCATTCATTTTTATTTCATCAAACAAATTATTAATTTTGTTTATATCC